TAACTGAACTGCTGACAGAAAGGGATGTCGTGTTATCAGATACTCACTGTTTGTGGTGAGTTTGCTAAAATAGATTGCATTTGTGAAGATTTGTTACATAACCTACTGTCAGGATTTTGGATATCTTAACTGGCATTGGATGTATTTCATATGATGTCCAGAAGATAAATGTTTATGTTTGGGTTCAGAATATCTGCACTGTGCAGCGTACATCTCGCAGTGTTCTCTGCTCGGTGTATTGTGAAGTGCCAAACATGGTGGCTTTTTGCTAGCGGAAATACACTGGTATAGGATACCTGTTACTGCCTGGAAGTAAAATTCATAATTTGGAAATCACTCACATGTCTGAAAATGATTAAATTTAACCATGACAGTACTTCATTAGTCTCTTTGGAAACTCCTTTGTGTGTTTTCCATGCCCTGTGCCAGTCTGTATCGATCATGTGTGAGAAGCACTGAGCTGGCATTGGGGAAAATGCATCAACTTTGTAAAGCTTTGGGAATCTCAGCAGTGGGTGCAGAATCTTGTACTGGTTTATGTAACACATTGAATGATGTTTCCCCTCTCTAGATAACATACTTGATTTAGTTATTTTGTCTTCAGAACTTTTTTTTCCTTTCCTGTTTTCTATATAATAGCATTTTCACTGAGGCATAGAATAACATGGAAACCATTTGGGAGCAGACATCAGAGTAGAAGGTTATGTGGGAATCAAGAAAATATGTGGTGGTATTTCTTTTAGAAGGGTTTTAATTGGCTGCTGGTCCTTTCTAAATCTCAGTGAAAGCTTCAGTCTAGACAAGTGAATCTTCAATGAGCTCTCTTGAAAGCTCAGTCCTTTACTTAGGTATGGGGTTTTTTTTCCTCAAATGTGATATCCTTCAATTTTCATAATGTTTTCACTCAAGACTCTAAATATATATATATTAATCCTTGTAATACTCCTGTGGTATAGGTAATAAACCTAATTCTTTATCATGCTGTGAACCTCATTACTACTTGTTTTTTCCTGC